CAACCAATTGACCGTAAGTGTCGATGGGCTTATGTTTTACTCTATTCCGTGTCTATTTCTATGCCATCATCACTGTTTTCATTCCTGTAGCTTGGTAGTGAGTTTTAAAATTGGGACGTGTGAGCCCTCCAACATTTTTTTCTTTTTTAAGGTTATTTGTCTACTCAGGAAACACCTTTGGTGCCCATTTTTCCTATGAGAAAATGGAGACAGCAGGAGATTCAGTACGCTGCTGGGGCGGCTCCACCGGCCGGGGGCAGCTTGGGTGCCAGCAATGTCGGAGGATGTGAGGAGAGAGGATTCGGGGGCTGGGCACGGGCACGGCGGCCGCGGGCTGAGGGGCGCCTGGAGGTGTGGCCTTGCCTGGCCAGAGCCCAGCACCTCCCTGGCTGACACCCCCGCCCACACAGCCCCCACCCCGTGCGGCCCAGGATTGCTCTTCTCACCTGACGTGTAGTCAACACCTGCCCTGGGCCTCCTGGGAAGCCTCCACCTGCATGAGCCACCCAATCTCCCTGAGGTGAAACCCCAAGGCCAGCCCCCCAAGGGGTTCCCAAGGCCAGGCTGAGGGCACAGTGGCCCAGCGAGGGCAGTGGGCAGGGAGCACGTGGTGGCCACAGAGATCTGCCTGCCGCACACCTGGCCCGGGAGGAGTCTGGCCGGACCCAGCCCACCAAGTTTTAAGCAATAGTACAGTTTCTGAAGGCACCGTGGTGGCTTTGACTTCCTAAAACTGACAACTGGGACCCAGACTGTCCTCCAGCCATGCGCTGGACCCCTGGTGGTGGTGGTGTGGGCAGGTCAGGGCCCAGCACGCGGGCAGCACCTGTCCTTTCTGGCTAGCCCAGGCCAGGGGCAGGTCCCCTACCGGGCTCTCAGAGGGTGCTTTGAACTTGGCCACACCCTGGAACCTGCCCTTTGTTTTGAGGGCCAAGCAAGCCCTGAGGCCAGGCCTGTCGGCACCCTCTGGGCAAGGGTGACGGAGGGTCAGCCGGAGGCTTCCCACAGCAAAGGGCTGACTTCCCTTGAGGTCTCAGGAGCCTGCGTGAACACACAGTCCCTCAGCTCCAAACCTCTGGGGCGGGAAGCATCCCCAGGCCTGTCCTAAGGTTAGGGGGAATTCAGGGTGCACCAGGGGTGTCTGACAAAGGACAGAGAATCTGGTTTGTGCCAATGGACCGGCCAGTTGTGAGGTGAGGAGTGGGCACGGCCCATGCACGGCAGCAAAGGGCGCTGGCTTCTTGCTGATCCGGAAGGCAGAGCCTTTGAAGGCTTTTGACTGACTCTGGCTTTGGAACATTCAGCCTGGCTGTGCAGATCAGAGAAGGAAAAGACTAAAAGCCAGCGGCAGTGCAGGAGGGAAGGGGTGCAAGGAGGGGCAGGCAGAAGCCATGTGGAGGAGGAGAACTGGCCGCCCAGCCAGAAAGCAGTGGGCTCCTGGCGTCCCGGGCGCCCAAGGGGACTGACCACGTACACTCGTTTCTGCACTGGGCATATGGAGCGCGTGGTCCCAACACGTCCGACCGTGCCTGAGTGCCCTGTGTCTGGGCTTCCCCCCTTCCTCCCTGGGATAAACCGAAAATCCAGGAGGGGCAGGAAGGCACACAGGGGAGACTGCGCCATGCCAGGCCCAGAGCTGAGCGCCCGGAGCCATGTTCTCCAGCCGGGCATGAGGATCCAAGAAACAGGTGGGTTCCCAGAGGGGCGGCCCCCAGCAGCTCCTCCCCGGGGGTGAAGGCCCACTGCCCCACTGGGCGACCGAGCCCGCTTGGAACTGGCTTCCCCCTGCCGGCCAAGGATAAGAGAGGCTGCCCTGCTTCTGGTGATTAAAGGGCAGAGCAAGGTGACAAGGAGCTGCCCTTGAAGCCTGCCCCCAGCAGGGTTTGGAGGGAGTGGTCAGACCACCCCTGCAGAACAGTGGCCTCCATCCTACAAATGCTGTGCCCGCCCCTGCTCCCGAGTCCCCAGCCTGCCCAGTGCCCTCTGGCCCTGTGCACACTGCCCGCAGGATGGGGCACTCGTTAGGGGGCACCATCGGCAGTGACTGTCTGAGCAGGCGCACGTGGATTGAAAGACTTCGACTGCTCAGGCTACTTGGAAACTTGCTTTAGGGGTAGCCAAAAGACGCCCAGCAGAAAGCACACCCTGTGCTCCCCAACACTGGCAGGACTCCTGAGAGAGTTCAAGCTGAACCATTTCTGAGGACGAAGTGGAGACAGCAGGTCGGCCGCCCACACGTCTGGGAACCAGCGACTGGTGCGGGGTCTGCTCCCTGACCAGCGACTGGTGGGGGGTCTGCTCCCTGCGTCCTCTGAGTGGTCCGGGCCCAGCATGTCCGACCCCTCCCTGCCCGGAGGCAGGAAGTGAGGGGTGGACGCTGCCCTCCAGGATTCGGGGTCATCCCTCAAGAAGATGGAAACGTGAGAGAGCCCACACATCCCTCCTGAGATTACCCTAACTGGCCCTTTCTTCTCAGCCCTCGCTCAGTGTCAGCAGATGGAAGGGCAATTGGGGTCTCTGTCACTTGCCCCAACAAATGCAATCGCCCCTTTGTATGCACAAATAAACAACTCACCCCTGCATTCCTCCTTCTGTCACGTTTGTGCCCATGTGGTCCGGACAGGCCAGGACTCCATGGTCGGAAGGGGGTCTTGGTCTCAGTCACAGCAGCCATCTCGGTTGCTGGGCCAGCAGCACAGACACAAGCCGGGAGGCTCTGTCAGCCACACCCCATCCCTGGGCTCCCGTGGAGACCTCACCCCAACTACCTCACTGCTCCTGCCCAACTGCTGGGGGGCGCGTATGGCATCACAGGGGGGGATAACGGGGGAGAGACTCACGTGGCCCTGTCTCCCAGCAGCCAGGCTGCTTGTGCCATGCTGTGCCCTGGCACAGCCCCCCTTGTCCTGGGCTGTTAGACGAGCCCTAACTCTGAATGGCCAGGGACGCGGCAGTAAGTAGGGCTGGCCGGGCAGACAGACAGCGAGGTCCTGATGGCTGGCATGTGAGAACAGCTCCTCTGGGCTGTGTGACTGAAATGGAACCTTTGGCCTCCCCAGCAATGGCGCCCACCCACACCTGTGAAGCAGAAATGCTCCCTTGGGTGAGGAGCAAGGGAGGAGGCTCTGTGGGTCCCTGGCAGCCTTCAGCAGAGCCACCTCGAGCCATGACCACCTAGTGGCCAGCTGTCCTTGCACCTTGTCATCAAGGCTCTCTGACAGGTGCTGGCCCCACCCAGAGCTGGGTGGACGGTCCCACCTGCCATTCCTCTTGGCCATGGGCCGACACTGCAGCGTGGCCCCTCACCACAGCCCTTCTACCTGGCCTGAGGGCGGGCCCCACAGAGCGGGGTCCACACTGGGTCCTCGCCGGGTCACTGCCACACGGGGCACAGGCCAGCTGTCGTGCTGATTACTTCTCTCAGCTCCTCTCCCTGACCCTCACAGGAGCTACGTGGAAAGTAAGCCAAGTGTCCCATCCAAATTCACATGGCTGGTGAGTGGCGAGATCCAGATCTGAATTTGAACTCAGATCTCACTGTCCTGTGCTGAGGGGCAGGACCAGTGAGCATCGCGCACCCGCTAAAGAACATGACTTGCTTTCTACCTACGCTTTTTCCTCAGGTGGCTTTCTGTCGCTTTCAATCCAGTGTCCTGAGCACAAGCTGGAAAGACACTGCACCCCTGGGAGAGCACAGGTGCCCTGGGAAGCCCCGCACTCGGGGCACCTCAGCTCCAGCCCAGCCTGAACCTCAGCTGCACTGGGAAGCCCCCCAACTTGGAACAAACAGCCAGGGCCCCAAGCCCCAGGCGTGGAGGGGAGGCTGTGCCCCACCCGGTGCCCGCTGTCTGCATGTGCCATTGCCCCGTGGCTGGGCGACAAGTTTCCTCTGGAGGAGAAGGGTCCTGGACGCAGGCGTCCTGATCTGTGAAGTGGGAATGACACAGCGATCTTGTAGTGGTGAGGACTCCTTTAGATCAGCGGTTCTCAACCTGTGGGTTGCGACCCCTTTGGGGGCCGAACGACCCTTTCATGGGGGTTGCCGGGTACTCATATGTGGGCGTATCTGCATGTGGGCCTGGAGACGGATAGAGGAGCGGTGTCTCTGTTCCTAAGACCATCGAAAATATGTGTTTTCCGATGGTCTTAGGCGAGCCCTGTGAAATGTTGAGAACCGCTGCTCTAGAGGGTGAGCCTGAGAGGTGCCGGGGAGGGGCCGGGCCCTGCCTACCTGTCCCGGAAACCTGCCCTGTGAGTGGCCATTCTGCTGTCTAGAGGCCTAGAAATGCACTGGGCACGGACGCCGCCCTGAGGAACCGCCCAGTCTGCCTGGATGAAGAGGAGGCATCAGTGATGGCCACAACGACAACAGAAAGCGTGGGTGGCTCTCCAGCCTCAAGCGGGGTTTAAGCCCAGCCTGGCTCCTGCCTGGTCCAGAAGCAAGTGACTGGAAGTGAGCTTGTACAGAGAGGGTGGGCGTGTGGGCCGGGGTCCCTGGCCCCACCAGGACGGCCCCAGCCAGGCAGGCACCGGGGAGGTGTCCAGGCAGCTGTGCCGGGCCCGGCAAGAAGGAGCAGGCCTGTGCGTGAGCTGCGTGAGTCACCTCGTGATGAGCCAGCAGGTGTGTGGGGGGTGGGGGGGCAGGAGGCCTACACGCTTGGGCTGCGTCCCTGCAGCCTGGCATGCAGCGATTCCGTGTCTCTGGGTGAGAGGAGCAGCCTTCTCTGGGAGGCAGGGCGGGAGACCTCAGGTCCCCTCGAGGTCAACAGCTCCGGGAGCCCCAGGGAAAGGCGGGGTCCACCCGGCCACTCAGCCCACACAGCCGACAAGTCCACAGGCATTGGGGGTGTTGGTGGCCCCCTGCGGGCCGTTCCCTTTCGAGGCGGAACTCAAGAGCTCTGCCAGCTCTCTGTCACTCCCACTCTCAACACCCAGCAGTCGGACCCTTGTTGGCCTCACTCCCGCGCTTCTGCAGCTGGTCACCCCGCAGCAGCCCAGGCCAACAGCCGGCCCTCATGTGTGTCCCTCCAGCCTCCAAAGCATCGCGTGGAGGGGACGCAGACGGGCTGAAGACCCCCCATCAGCCAAGCGTCTCATTGCATCTCCATAGGGCTGCGCAGGGTGGGGTCGAGTCTCTCGGCCAGTTTCCGGCGTCCAGCCCCTCACCGCCCCCCACAAAGACACCAGGTGTGAGCTGGAGCCGCGGGGAAGGCGTATAGGAGGGGCGCGGGGGGCGCGGGGCCGGGCAGGCGGCGCAGGCGAGCAGGGAGGCCGCGGGCGAGGGGCGACGCGCCGCGGGAGCG